AGGTAACACTGACAACTGTTCAGGTTTCCAAAGAGCTGAGTCCTGATGTGGCTTCTGTAGTACGTCCTTAGCTGTCTGTCCATAGGCTTTGCTCATGCTTACTGTCCCGAGGGTCTTTGTCATGTGTTTGAAGATATGCCACCAACTGCCCCCACCTCCCCAGCCTCTGTGCAGACCCCCAGTGGTCTAGACTGAGAAAGAGGTCATCTTGGGCGCTCATGCCTTGGGCAGAGTTGGGAAATGCGCCTAGGTGCTGGTACTATACAATATGTCTTGCTAGTGGTGTTCACTCAGAACCCACCTTTAAGACAAAATTCCCAGAGTGATAAATGTACCCTGGGCTAAAATAAGGCTCTTTCTGGTCTTTGGTTCCCTCTCATTCATCACTGTTCCAATGTACTAACTGTCATACCAGCTTAGCAAAATAATTCTTAGCATCTTGCTATGAAAAGTCAGTCTATAAAGAATAAAGCAGCGCACATCTGCTGCTTAAAGATGTCAGTGCCTGTGGGGACCCTTCTGGGTCTGCAGAGTTTGTTTCTGGGTGTTTCCTGAAGCCACTGCGGTTATGTGCCTTTCTGTTGGTTTCTGGAATGTACTTTTTTTCCTTAAAAGATACTGAAGGGATTTTCTCAGCCTCTTGTTGAATGCATGCTTCTATAAATGGAACTCCAGGTGATTTTAGAGGTGAAGCTTAGAGAAATAGCAACATCTGAAAGTTTCTGGACATTAAGTCTGACAGGAGGAAATGCTTCTTGGTGACAGTCCCTAGCATGTTTACTTGCTACTGAACAGAGCTGAGCTACACTAAATTACTGTGACAATCTGTCTTGTTGGTAACGTTCAACTTTCTACATAGACACTTGGTCTCCGGGACTGTTAACCTTGTACCTCCTAGATATGCTTCCTTCTTTCTGTCTTTGTCTCGCCCTCTTTCTCCAGCCCCTTGCTGTCTCCTTTCCTCAAAAGCAAGCAATATTTAAGTGTACTTGCTGAATGCTTAACTTGCAGATGAGTTTTCTTTAAAACACTATGCCATTCATGGACAAAAGGAGGAACAGAGCCTAGAGGTTTCTTCACCAGACTTGGACTTCTTGCCAAATGGCTCCTCCCAGAACTCGAACCTAAAATCAAAGAGGAGAAATCACCAGGTCTTTTGCCTGCCTCTCTCAGAAGTCACCATGGAAAATGGGGTTGGTTTGGTGTACACTGTTCCCTTCTGAAGCATTCAAGTGATTTCTTCCTGCACTGTGTAGATCTAGCTTAGTCTGTGATCCAAATGCATAGCAGTTTGGGTTATTCTTTGACTGATGCTTTTTAGCTTAAGAGTTTTACAAACTCATCTAAGGAACTTGAGGGAATCAATACTCAGGAATCCTAAAGCTGGTATTGCATCTGTGTCATTTACTCTTCTGGGCTGAACATACTGTGATTGTCCTTGCAGGTGGTTGAAGGGAGGAGTGGCTGTGTCATCAGATAATGGGATGTGGTTCTGCCCAAAGTAATACACACTTGATTCTTTTTTTGATTTTGTTTTTTAATATCGGGGGACTGTTTCTCAACAAAATTGATGTGTAAAAAATTTGATATTTAAAAAAATAAAAACTTTATCATAATGTTGCTTGATTGGTCTGTATGTATTTCTGAGGTCAGCATCCCTGCACTCAAATCCTTCTCTGGCTTTTTTCTAAAGCCAATGGAGCTTTTGTATCATGAATCTTGCCATTTTGAATATGATAAGCAGAAATCTATGCTTAAAACTAGTGTTGTTTGCAGGAGCTGAGAAGAGGCATGAGAAATACACGAGCTTCCCTTCTACAGAGATAGGCTGTTGACTTTAAAGTGGAAGAGAGTTAGGCTACAAAACTAACTTGCTGAATGCACTGCATTTTGGCTATTGGAGCAGATCCCATTTGGTTTTGAAAAGGGGAAGTAGGGGATATTCCTCCTCTGAAACCTGTAGTGCAGTCAGCTAATCCCAAATGGTGGCATTTATCTCATGGAGCACTAATTCCTTTATCGTATCTTGAAAAAGGGAGATGTGCTGTCCCTTGAGACATGGACTGAGTTTTGACCATTGAGTCTCAGATACCTGGACAGCAGTCAGTGTTAGTACAACATCGGCAGAGATACTCCTTAAAGAACAACACTGATCTGTTTAAGCATAAGGATCTGTTACCATGATGAAGCAGTCCTCTTTCTTCCCCTGGGAAATGATTCAAGAGCCAAATATTGCCTGAAACTATATTGAGTGCTCAGGCCTTGTTCATTCTATGTTATGCAGTTCTCTTTTGATACTGTATGCAAGTGCAGATTAACTACATAGTTATGGTTACCTTCTCGTTTGTGATTGTCCTAGCCTATCTGAATTGGAGCTCTCGGTTCTCTTTAAATCTGCAGCCCCTTTATGGCCAGGAGAGGTTCAGGCTCCTTGTAATGAATTTAAAGCTCACTGTAAGTTATGTTTTCCTTGTTTATCTTTAGGCATAGCACAAGGGATATCCTCCCAGCTCACATACTATAGATTGAGGTTACTGTGATTAGTCACATGGGTGTGGAAGCTGCATCACAACCAGGAGCCAGATACAGAGGCAAGCATCACATCATACATCTTTCTGCACTAGAATAGTCTGGACAATGGTCAACAAAAGAAATTTGACAAATATCACTCATAAACTCAGCAAGGCCAATGATGCCAGTCCACTGCCTCACTTTTCTGCAGCCCTGTGGTCTTAGCACGCGCCTCATGTCAATTGGCCAAGTCAGCCACCCTTTGGGCAGGTAAGTCACCAGACTGGGACTTGGGAAATCCTGCAGTCCGGCCTGACTTCTGATTCACTGTGGCCTAGAGTCGTTTATGTGCTTTGCTTCCTCTTTCTGCTGGTGGTAAATGGGGCAAAGGATCCCCTCAGAAGCATACTATGAAGATCACTACTATTATGTAATTAGCTATGACAGCAAAGCAGGCTAATTACAAGGTACTGTCAATAAAAAAGCATCAAGTCATGTGGACAAGGATGTGAATGGTTGGTGGTTGAAATCCCTCACAACAGCAGCTGCCAAAGGAATGACTAGTTTCGGCTCTCTTTGTTAACAAATCAAAATGGGAAATGTTTCAAAATCAAACACTTGTGCCTGGCTGTGGAATGCAGATGTGCTCATAGGCCTGCAGCCAGCCCATTGGTAATGAGACGCAGGACTTGCTGATTACTTATCCGGATGTTTGGCCTACATCCATGTTTTGGCCTTTTTCCCCCTTTCCTTAATTTGGTCCTGATCCCCAGCTCTCTACAGAAGGTTCCTCCACTCCTCATCTTCATACTTCTCAATAACAGCAAGTTGTCACAATACATAGCCCCCGCCCTGTTTCCTTTTTAATGTAATTAAATTATAGTGTCTTCAATTTTTCTTCTCTAAGTCTATCCTCCTGTCTCCTGAAACCTTTTGTGTACCTCTTGAATAGCCTTCCTGAGTGTTGGCAACCTTCTTACTGAAGTGCCCTATAACTACACTGTATGATAAGTTTATGTATCTTAGGATAGTATCTTGCACTTGGTACACTTTGCTATAGGAGATTTGATCCACCTTAATGATTCATTCTGTCCTTCCTCACCATCTGGTTATGTGATGAGCTCTTGATTGCTCCTGTTTTTATGTGTAACATTCTTCATGCTAACCCTGGGCTGTAAATGCTAAGCAAAGAGCCTACTCCTGCCCTAAAGCATTGAAAATCTCATGGGAAGAGGGCAGGAAGCAGGCTAGGATGTGAATAAGATGATACATCCTGAACTTCTGTAGGGAGAATGGGATCTGCCTTTGAATACTGGGAGCATGTGTTCCTGCAGGAGTTTCCAATGTAAATCTATAAATATGTGGTGGATGTTTTTAAGGGATTATAATCAACTCACTGAATGCAGTAAGCATCTATAACGCTCCCTGCTGTGCTGTACAGCTTTCTGCAGCATGTGAGTGCCATAAGGCACCAGGTACAGAGAAGCTGGACAGAGAAACTGCAGAGTCAGAGCTAGTAATGTTTTTGTACTCGTGCGGGGGGAGGGGCAAGGGCCTGGGGTAAAACAGAGACCTGGGACGTTCAAAACATCCAGGCAAACTGTAAGAGACCAGGGATCTGATGTACCATCGGATTATACAGGAGTATACCCTTTACTGTGTCTAAAGCCTTCAGAGCAATGAAAAATGCAAACAGATGCACTTAATTGCTGACTGGTGCTGTACAGCTTGTTCCCTTCATACCCCAAGCACGCTTTAAATCCTAAAATAAGGTAAGGAATAAAACTATGTTTGATCTGTCATGCTTCTTTAAAGGAACTGACTTGAGCTAGGTAGGTAAACTCAGCAAGTGTGGGCTAGATGAGTGGACGGTGAGGTGGATTGAGAACTGGCTGGATGGCCGAGCTCCGAGGGTTGTGGTGAATGGCACAGAGTCAAGTTGGAGGCCTGTAGCTAGTGGTGTCCCCCAAGGGTCAGTTCTGGGTCCAGTCTTGTTCAATATATTCATCAATGACCTGGAGGAAGGCACAGAGTGCACCCTCAGCAAGTTGGCTGATGATACTAAACTGGGGGGAGTGGCTGACACACCAGAAGACTGTGCTGCCATTCAGAGGGATCTGGACAGGCTGGAGAGCTGGAGTTCAACAAAGGCAAGTGCAAGGTCCTGCACCTAGGGAGAAATAATCCCATGCAGCAGGACAGGCTGGGGGTTGACCTGCTGGAAAGCAGCTCTGCAGAGAAGGACCTGGGAGTGCTGGTGGACAAGTTAAACATGAGCCAGCAGTGTGCCCTTGTGGCCAAGAAGGCCAACGGTATCCTGGGGTGCATTAGGAAGAGTGTTGCCAGCAGGTCGAGGGAGGTGATCTTGCCCCTCTCCTCAGCCCTGGTGAGGCCTCACCTCGAGGACTGTGTCCAGTTCTGGGCTCCCCAGGACAAGAGAGA